AGGACCCCTTTATCAGGCAGGTTTAAACAAGGACGCTGTGCAGGCGGCCAACATCCTCCTTATCAACTGATGGCATACTGTTATGGTGCATAATGAAAACTTATGGCTTTGTAAACCTAAAAGGTAGGCTTGGGCCACGTGCTGGCTTGTATACAATTTGTGGCAATTTTTAGGCATTTTGCCAAGGCACCCCTGAAGAAACTTCAAGGCACCCCAGGGTGCCTGGGCACCCTGGTTGAAAAAGGCTGTCTTGGACTAGTTTACATGCTAGTTTACTGCCCACTTGTTACTGACCAGACTACACTCTGCCTACCACCCACCAAAACAATGCTTGATCCCTAGTGCACTCTGGTCTTTTGTCTCTGCACAGTTGCCCTCCTGTACCTGGTACCTCTTAGTATGGATATTCCAGGGCCTGCGACCTGGTGCTAGTTGCATCAAAGAGTTTTGGGAACCACTAGGGTTTCCAGCCCAAATCCACAATTAGTTCTGATGAAGACCAACCTCTTATTATTCTATGCCCTTGGAGAGCCCAAATAACCCTAGAAACCGACACATGGGGAGAGTTAATAAAAATGGTTTCCTCAGGTAGCATCTGCTCCTGACATGACCCTGATAGCATCCATCAGATATCTATAGAGGATACTGGCAGGTCCTGTCAACAACACGATTGCTGCTACTGTCCTCCAACCATGTGCCTATCTGTAGCCCATGAAAAATGTAACAAGGTAAAACATTCAACCGCTATACACATTGGCAAAGACTAGGAAACCCTTTTATAAATTTGACTGTTTTACAGGTATATCCGTATTAGGTGATTGTTTAAATATAAAGATAAAATAAACTGTCTGCAGATGATTTTTGATCCTGCTCTCTAGCTAAACATTACTCAGGCATTGGTTTTGGCAAAGTAGGTCAGTCTTGGCTTAGTAATTCTGAATTTGAAAAGGCTTTGCTCTGATTCCAAAGCTTTATAGCTCAGTAGAGTTACTTAACCAGAAGACTTGCGTGACTTGGGTGACACATGTGCCAAGTTTACATTGGCAAAATATGATTATTTCTGGCCTGTGTTCTGTACTCAGAAATGTTCCCCAAAATAATGAATTATAGGGAAATGATGTGCTAATTGTTACTTCAGTGAGAGAGTGGGCTCCATTGAGGAACAAAAGTCTACATCATTATTAGTTAGTAGTGGTTAGTCACATTCTTGTGAACTGTAGTACTGTTGAAGATATTTCATCAATCATCCAAGTGCCTTCTCAAGTGTCAGCATTCATAACTATAGTTGTGTTCAAAATAATAGCAGTCAGACATCACTAACCTGATCATTCACTGTTTTTGGTAGAAATGATATTTCTACATGGCAAATAATTTACTAGCAGGTGTAGTAGAGTAATAGAAATCCAACAGACCCAACAGTCATGACATGCATGCTGCTGATTCTGTGTAATTGAATCACTAATTGAAAAGCGCATGTTCAAAATAATAGCAGTGTGGAGTTCTATTAGTGAGGTCATTCATTCTTTGAAAAACAGGTGGCAATTATTGCCCTTATTTTAAGGAAGGAAGGCGGCAAATGTTGTACATGCTGGTTACAGTGCATTTCTCTCTGAAATTCTGAGGAAAATGGGTCGTTCCAGACATTGCTCAGAAGAACAGCGTACCTTGATTAAAAAGTTGATTGGAGAGGTGAAAACATATAAAGAAGAGCAGAAAATGATAGGCTGCTCAGCTAAAATGATCGCAAATGCTTTAATATGGCAACCAAAAAAAAGGTCTGAAAGACGTGGAAGAAAGCGAAAAACTACCATTCAAATGGATAGAAGAATAGCCAAAATGGCAAGGACTCAGCCAACAATCAGCTCCAGGAAGATCAAAGAAGGTCTAAAGTTACCTATGAGTACTGTTACAATTAGAAGATGCCTATGTGAAGCCAAGCTATCTGCAAGAAGCCTCCGCAAAGTCCCACTGTTGAAAAAAAGACGTGCTGAGGAGGTTACAATTTGCCAAAGAGCACATTGACTGGCCTAAAGAGAAATGGCGCAACATTTTGTGGACTGATGAAAGTAAGATTGTTCTTTTTGGGTCTAGTGGACGGAGACAGTTTGTCAGACGACCCCCAAACACTGAATTCAAGCCACAGTACACTGTGAAGACAGTGAAGCATGGTTGTGCAAGCATCATGATATGGGGATGTTTCTCATACTACGGTGTTGGGCCTATTTATTGCATACCAGGGATCATGGATCAGTTTGAATACATCAGAATACTTGAAGAGGTCATGCTGCCTTATGCTGAAGAGGAAATGCCCTTGAAATGGGTGTTCCAACAAGACAACAACCCCAAACACACCAGTAAACGTGCAACATCTTGGTTCCAGAATCAACAAGATTGACGATATGGAGTGGCCAACCCAATCCCTGGATCTTAATCCAATAGAAAATTTGTGGGGTTACATCAAAAATACAGTTTCTGAGGCAAAACCAAGAAATAGAGAAGAACTGTGGAATGTAGTCCAATCATCCTGGGCTGGAATACATGTTCACAGGCGCCAGAAGTTGGTTGACTCCATGCAACACAGATGTACAGCAGTTCTCAGAAACAGTGCTTATACAACTAAATATTAATTAAGTGATTCAAAGGAAAGCAAAATATTCAAACATTTTTCAGTTTATATAGTGAATGTTTGAGTTTGTAAAGAAGAATACAAACACTGCTATTTTTTTGAACAGTCTAATATTCACTTTTCTGCAATTTTTTTAGAGGAACAACACAAATTTGTTATATTTTTCTTCATGTTTTGATTTGGAATAGAATGTGTAGTGTTCCCAATGCATTTGTGTGTATGGAAATAAAAGCTATTAGAAGGATTTTGAGCTTTATTCGCTTTTTTCAACACACTGCTATTATTTTGAACACAACTGTACATCATTCAACACACTTTTGAGAATAATGTCAAGGTAGGTGTTGACTGTCCATGAAGCAAACTGGAGGTTGTAAAAACACCCTGTTCTAATTACTATCATCTAGTCACCATGGTGTATTGTGGGACAGGTGTTAATTGTTTAACTTACACAATCAAAGAGTGTAAAGTGTTGCCAAACTGCAAGGGTAAATATGTTAAAACAACATTATACAGTGGGGCAAAAAAGTATTTAGTCAGCCACCAATTGTGCAAGTTCTCCCACTTAAAAAGATGAGAGAGGCCTGTAATTGGCATCATAGGTAGACCTCAACTATGAGAGACAAAATGAGAAAAAAAACATCCAGACAATCACATTAGCTGATTTGGAAAGAATTTGTTTGCAAATTATGGTGGAAAATAAGTATTTGGTCACCTACAAACAAGCAAGATTTCTGGCTCTCACAGACCTGTACCTTCTTCTTTAAGAGGCTCCTCTGTCCTGCACTCATTACCTGTATCAATGGCACCTGTTTGAGGTTGTGGACAGGTGTCTTTTATACTGATAAGTTCAAACAGTCACACTCCAAACTCCACTATGGTGAAGCAAAAAGAGCTGTCAAAGGACACCAGAAACAAAACCCTCCCTTACATCACAGTGCACCCCCCCCCCCCATACCCTGCTGCTGTTGGGAAGAAGCTGGTGGCTGAGTTGGGAAGCAGAAAGTGCAGGGTCTGGAGGAGGTCTGGAGCTGGGCTAGAGTCAGCTGCCAGAGTCTGCTGAATGCTGAAATCAGGGGAGATAAAAACAAGGGGGTGCTGCGACTGCACAGAGAGGTGCAAGATTTTGTTCTGTCCTCCCTTCTGCTGTCAACTGCTGAGAAGGGGGGAGTAGGGGGGACAGAGCAGAGATGAGCCTCTCCATCACTGCACAGAGAAGCACAGGATCTGGCAAAGAAGTTCTGTCCTTTTCTCTGCTGCCAACTGCTGAGACAAGGTGGGGGCAGAGATGAGTGTGGTGCCAAAGGTGCAAGGGCTACATGAAATGGTCTGCCAGGTTTGATTCAGCCCACGGGGCTTGTGTTTGACACATGTGGTGTAGGGTGAGCTTTGTATGTAACACCCTCCTAGTTAGTTAGAGGGAGCTAAAGCTTCAGTCGTCAGCCAGGGGCTGAACAGCAGCCCAGGTGCAACAGTCAGAGGGAAGTTAACCTCCTTAGCGGTATGATTATGTCAGTATTTCTGTGCTAAAAGCGGTACATTGTTTTCAATGGAAATATGTTGTTTTGTTATTGTAGGCCTGTAATTCTTAGGAATAACTCACTGAAATCTGTTTAAACAAGAGTCTAGTAGACATCATTGGTGCAATAAAGTTTAATAAATTAAATAATTATAATATAGTAGAAAATAATAATATAATAATACATTTAATAATGTAATCAAATCAAACACATGGAACTCTGTCCAAACAATATTATATAGACAATGCATATTTTAGAAAACATCACGGGTGTGGTAAATTTTGAAACACAGGACTGCAAAAAGTCTGACATCGCAATCAGGACAGTGGAACCTCGTTTCCTTGTGGATTTTTTTTCCCACTGTAATCTCTCCGAGAGCAACATACCACGCACATCTGTGTAGGTGTCAGGGCTCCGGGTATGACCAGAGGTGTGTGGACTGACACAGGGAAACGCAGGCTTCAGGTATAGAGTAAACAAGACAATTTATTAAAAGACTAAACAACACAAACGCAGTGCAAGGTAAACATAACACAGTGCAAACAACCCAACCTCCAACAGATAACCATATATACAAACCAAACGTAGTCGGGCAGGCCGGGTCGGTAGCAAACGGGCAAACAGGGTACCAGGAGCGAGCGGAAGAGTGGTCAGGAATAGCCGAGGTCAGGACAGGCAGAGTTCGTTCAGAGTCAGGATCAAAGCAGAATCAGGATCAGGCAGGAAGCAGACAGGATGCAGGTACAGGGGCTCATGGGAAACATACACCAAGTCACTGATCACAGGCCTGGTCCTGCTTAAATACACCTCCTGCAATCAGCCTCAGGTGATGGCCTGATTGCAGGAGTGAGATTCTGGCTGCTGAGAGCACCCGCTGGCCAGCCTTGGTACTGCAGCCCACAAGGCAGGTGAGTCCCACCACCATTGGCGAGTCCATTCCTGACAGTACCCCCCCCCCCCTCAAGGAGTGGCCTCAGGATGCTCCAAACAGTCCTTAGTGGGCAAAATGTTCCACCGCCCGGGTCAGGTAACTGGCTGGATATCAGGGGCTGGCACATCAGGCTGGGCAGCGGACAGAGGCACATCAGGCTGGGCAGTGGACAGAGGCACATCAGGCTGGGCAGCGGACACAGGCACATCAGGCTGGGCAGCGGACAGAGGCACATCAGGCAGAGCAGCGGGCACCGGCCATCAGGCAGAGCAGCGGGCACCGGGCCATCAGGCGGAGCAGCGGGCACCGAGTCATCTGGCAGAACAGCGGGCACCGGGCCACCAAGCTCGACAGTGGGAACCGAGTCAACTGGCACGACAGCGGGCACCAAGTCACCAAGCTCACAGCGGGCGCGGAGTCATCTGGCAGGACAGCGGGCGCTGAGTCATCTGGCACAACAGCGGGCACCGAGTCATCTGGCACAACAGCGGGCACTGAGTCATCTGGCACAACAGCGGGCACCGTGTCACCAAGCTCGACAGCGGGCGCTGAGTCATCTGGCAGGACAGCGGGCGCCAAGTCATCTGGCAGGACAGTGGGCACCGAGTCATCTGGCAGGACAGCGGCGCCGGGTCACCAAGCTCGACAGTGGGCACCGAGTCATCTGGCAGCAGCAGGCACCGAGTCACAGCAGGGGCACCGAGTCACCAAGCTCGACAGCGGGTACCGAGTTATCTGGCACGACAGCGGGCACGAGTCATCTGGCACGACAGCGGGCGCCGAGTCATCTGGCACGACAGCGGGCGCCGAGTCATCTGGCACGACAGCGGGCTCCGAGTCATCTGGCACGACAGCGGGCACCGAGTCATCCGGCAGCACAGCGAGCACCGGGTCACCAAGCTCGACAGTGGGCACCAAGTCATCTGGCAGAACAGCAGGCACCGAGTCACCAAGCTCGACAGCGGACACCGAGTCATCTGGCACGACAAGGCAGGTGAGTCCCACCACCATTGGCGAGTCCATTCCTGACAAAAGGTGCTGCCTTTTTTTGGGTTGGTGGGATGTGGTCCATAAAATGACGTCCAGTCAGACGTTTTGGGTTGACAACTCCCACAGCACGTCGTCCGGATCTACTGGACGCAGCAAAATATGAAGCAGCTAGTTGTGGAGCAGCTAGTTGTTGTGCTGTGTACCTGTTTGTCTCCGCCACGATAATTTCAATAACCTCATCGGTCAGAAACAATTCCAAGTACGCCAAGGGGTTGTCACCTTCAATGTGTATTTTCATACCAGGTAACGGAAATCTTGGCGGCGTTGGCGTAACGCAATCAATAGTGCACCATGTGCGCAGATCACTCAAGTCAATCTCAGATTTGCCGCTGTCTTCACTTTTGGTGTCTGAAGACAAATTGCCACATGAGTCGCTATCGCTCAATTCAAGTAGCTACTCACTGTCACTGTTCGCTAGCTCATCATAAACCACTTTAGCGCTAGCAAGGTGCTTTTTGGAAGCCATGAGCGCAAAGCCGTTTTTAGTCCCAGAAACTGAAAAACTGCACTATGGAAATATCTCAGGTAGAGTTACAATATATGCACAGAGTAACACTTTATTTTGACAGTGAGCTATTTTTATAATTCCCGCCTCCCACAAGCCCGCCCGACTGACAGCACAGCACGGCAGACTCACGCTGATCACACTGATTAGAGTGAGATAGTCTGGAACCAGAGAAGCAGGGAAGCGGGGAAGGAGATTGGGGACGGACGGAAAGGATGGCTGCTGGCAGCGCAGGACCAGGGACACAGATTGGCACCAGGTAATTAGATTGCCATGAGCCCCAGTCTGGCTTGGGGTTACTGCTTTTGACAGCTAGATTTAACCTCAAGCCAGACTCGGGAAAACCGCTAGGGAGGTTAAATTTGTGTCAGAGCTGAGAGGTTCTGCAGGCCAGCCACTTTGGAATTTATCTCTGCTCTAGAACTTTGGAAAAAGGTCTAGAAGCAGTGAATGGATCTGAGGGTTGCCTGGCTTGTACTCTTAGGGGATCCTGGTCAATTCCCAACAAGAGGCTTGGCAAAGGGCCAGGACAACCTGTAAGAGTAGCTGAACTTGCTCAGTAGCAGGAGAGTTTAGGTGGGAGATGGAGAAGTAGGCTGAAGTGCAGGAGCCTGGTATGGGTGCCAGATGGAAGAGGAGCTCACCTACAGGCAGAGGAGCTGGACAGGAAGATAGCTTGCACCCTCATTGGCCCCCTGAAAGAGGACCACCTGAACAGCAGAGGAGGAACAGCCCAGCTAGAAGGTCTGGTAGCAACCATCGAATCAATAGCAGCACAGGAGAGGGACACGTGAGTAAACCTACACTCCTGGGCCAGATAGGGGAAGGAGCACTCTGGTGGGAAACCAGATTAGCAAACCTGCTGAGACAGTATTTCTTTTAAAGTGGCAGGACTGGACCCCCTGTCCAGAGATTTCCTTCAGGCAGCCAGCTCAAAGAATATTTGCTGCAACACAGTCTCTGCTCTCCAGCAGAGACTGTGTTGCAGCAAACTTGTAAATAGTTCCAGGAAGTTGTCCTCAGTTCATCGGTTCCATTGGGCATCCCATATTCCCCTTTCCCCATCCAAGTTGATATCCGCTAATAAAATATCAAAAACCAGCTCAAGACTGATTTCTGACTCCTGGATGCTAGTGATTGTGGAAATGCGTGTTGCCTGGCTGTGCAGGACTAAAGGTGGGACCCAAAACTTCAGCAACTCCTAAGGGGGTAGTGCTACATATACATAAACTGAGCTGAACATGTGAGGCATCGCTGTTAAACTTGGAGTGAAAGTAATATTTCTTGGGTCATAATTCACTGGTATATCTAAACTGATATAGGCTTTTAAAAGATTGCCTATAAATAAATTGTAAGTATTATTGTTTTTTAGCATTTTCATGGGCAGTTATAAAGCTTGACATGTTTGGTATCTATTTACTTGATATAGCCCTATCTTTTATAGTTTACAAACAAATTGGGTATACTGTTATGTATAATTGCTCTCAAATTCATTTTAGTCATCTGATAAATCATCTGATAAATAGCTGCACAAATATTATGTAACACAAAAAAATTCTAACTACCACCATTTTATTTTTCAGGGTCTCTGCGTTCAGAAAATAAATCAATGTTTAGGGGATTAAAGTAAATTCTAGCAAAAAATGTAGATTTTAACATGTGCAAAAAAATAAAAAAATGCCCTAGTAGACAAATGGTTAAACAAAAGCATCTGTAAGACCTAGCAGCCAACTTCTCTTACTTCCCTTTTAGTCTGCTATGATGGTGATTGTATTCCAAGAAAAACTGAATGAAAACAAAAGTATGCAGGAGCAGTGTCCTTATATAGTAATCATATAATCTCCTTTTGGTTTCCATAAGTGTATAGGATGTCCAATGTTAAAAATATGGCTGGAAGGAAGAGTTGATAAGTGGCAGGGAGGCAAAACCAAAGAAACATCCACCATCAGGTAAAGCATATTTTGACTCTATTGGGTCCATCAAATCTGGTCACCATAGGCACCTTTCAAGGGCACTTTTTAAATAGTAACTGTCACTTTATCAATCATTTTGAGCACGGAACACTTTAAGAAGAATTCACACGTACATTATGAATTGAAAATCTTTATTTGAAGGTTCACTTAGACATCTGGAAGGACACTGTAGATTAAGTCACCGTCGAGCATTGTATATATATAAATATATTTCTGTATAGTAATCATAGCCTTGATGGTATTAGAGAGTTAGGCCAGCTGTTTCCATTATAAGACCTTAGAAATCAGCTATTTTTGTAAAAAAAAAAAGGGGGGGGGGGAAGGCAAATATCCTGTAATAAATATGAATAATGAACAGCATGTTTTAAAAGGGACAGGTCTTTTTTAAAGCAATTGTTATCCCACCCACTCAGCCATGCAACTCTGCCTATTAAGGGTATCTAAACCCCAAAACAAAAATATTATATACTGCAGCTTACCAATACATAAATGTGATGGCTGCTTTTTTTTCCCCTTAATTTTCAGCAAGTGATCTAGTCAGTAATGCTCTTACTGTCTTAAAGTTACTCTTCTATCCATGTGTAACACCCTGCCATGATACTGTTTGCGGGATGTAAAATTGACACAAGATGGCAGCGTCTTGCAGCCCAATTATGCAGACCCTGTTGCAAAGCTTTGTGGGATTCGTAGGCTGACTTCAGGATTTTAATGTTTGACAGTGGGCTGGCGGACTACATTTCCCAGAGGAGCGGGCGTGTGGGCAAAGGTAGATAAATACAGAAGCCCGGGAACCAGGGGCAGGGCGTTAGAGGGTGAGAGCAGGTATGGAGGAGAAGGCTATGCGGGAACCCAGAGGATGGGGCTAGGCTAGGCCACAGGGAGAGAGAGAAGGAGAAGCTGCTGACCACTGACACTGCTGACAAGTCTGGTGAGCTGTCCTGTGGGCTAGTGGTCCAGAGTGCTGCTGAGTGATCGCTGAAGGAGGAACCGTAGGAACACTGGGGGCCCCCATCTACAGAGAGACCATCAGTTACCTGACTGGTGCCACGGATTGGGTGAGAGAGTAGTATTTTCAAGCCATTGAAGTTGCCAATGACATTATTCAAGTCTGCTGCATTCTGCCTAGTTTAACTGACATTGTTCACAAGTTACACATGTTAAGGCTTAGCTCACTTAACCTACCAGTTACTACACTTTCAGCATAATATAATCGCAAAATTCCACTGCTGTGTCTTGCCCTTCGAAAGTATAGCCACATCATTGCTTCCATTGAAGTCGACCGTCAGTCACCAAGGAGCTCCTGTATTGCTGCAGTTTGCAACTGGGATTGCAAGAGGAATTTCTACAGAAAGGGTTTCTGCTCATTCTTTAATCCCTGCCAAAATTTACATCTTATTCTGTGTGGGTTAGAGGGGTACCATCCAGGCTACCTACCATGTAAAGGGGCAGCTGCTTTCTCTTGTATTCACACCTTATTAAGGAATTTCTACATTTGCTCCCAGAGGGATTTGAATTCTTAAAGTGCACCAACTCGGGCCCCATCGAGCGTGCAGAAGCTCTTATACTGCAGTTTAAAAGAACAGGGACCTACTCAATTCAAGAGGTTTTTTTTAGCCTCAGAACTGAACCCTGCCCCCTGCTTCTGAGGGCCCAGTGTGAGCTAGCCACTCTGCTTGGTAGTTTTTTCTTTCTCACTGGGGAAAGACATATCAGGACTGGGGTTACTGCCTAGATTCTGAAATGCAGGACTTTAATAACTGAATGATATTTTGCTGTGTTTGACTTTCTGAAATAATAGCTATCACTTGGAGTAATTTCAAGCAAACCGTTTCTGTTTTCCTGTACTTACATTTAATCTCAATACAACCAAAATATCACTCTAAATTGTCTGAGTCTAATTTGTGGTTGCAGCCAGAGG